AAAGAGCAGGAAACAGAGGAGCAGGCTTCTCCCTCATCTCTACCCCAGGCCTTCTGGAGGGGACGTCTGAGACCAAAACCGAAATACCATTCTGTAGCCTGGAACCCAAAGTGCAAAGCACCCTGGGAGGGGAGGCACAGAAGCAGGATCCAGGAAATACAATAATCAAATCATACAATGAAAGCTTAAATTTCCAAGTTAATTCTTGGGCATCATTTATAAAAGTTAACAGGGCATATTTAATTTAGGAATTGGCTCATGTCCTCTTTACAGCTGAAATCTCATAAATGAAATATGCTGGATCGTTGCCCAGTGCGGAAATAAAAGTTATGAATAATGTTTCTATCTCAATCATTGTCAGTGCTTTAATATTCCTAATTACTTTAAAAAGCTAGACATTCGATATAGGAAAACTTTTTTCCTTTTTATCTCCACTTGTGAGATTAGTGCAATTTAATAAGAGTCACTCTTTCGTCTTGATTCAGTATAAACTGACATTTCATCCTTTTACTCTTCATTATTATACGGGATGGAGGTTTATGACCAAGCAGGCAGCCACTCCGTTTCCCCTTAGTGGTACGTCCAGCAGCCCAGAATTATCCCACAGTTGGTGTGTCAGCCCACCAGGCAAATCAGTATCACCTCTCTTCCTTTATGGAGAATAAATTAGTCCAGACCTTAAAAAAATTCAGCTGTAAAAGAACAATGAGAAGTCCCCACCCCCACCCCCACCCACACCCCCAACCTAGTACTAGATTTATCCCCTTCACTGCTGTCAAGGTCATAAATCCCTTGGCAGCCACAAAGGGCAAGGTAGGGGCAGGCAGTCAGATGATGGATCTTCATAACCCTCCCTGCCACTTCCAGGAATTTATCCTAAGAAGAAATTGGGACAAGTGGATAAAGATATATGCATAAGAAGAATCACTGCAGCATTTTAACACACAATCCAAAAATCCCTAAAAAGTCCAAAAAGTGTTTTTAAAAATTCAGCACCAAAATCCATTTAGAGGCAACATCTACATGAACCTGATGTGAGGTTATATGTTGTCCTTAAGTCACTAGATGTGATTAGTCATCTGTCACTTCAGAAATATCACTTTTACCCAGGGTGCTGCCCGGACCCCACCGGGTCATAGGTCACACATAACATACCCACCATATGCTTTCTAAACTCTGAAAAATTCTCAATTCTGAAGCCAACAGGCTCCACGGATCTTGGATAAAGGATGGTGCACCTATGATAGTGAAGAATCGGAGATAACCTAAATGTCCATCACCAAGTGACTAGTTAAATACACACGGTAATCCACAGAATGAAATTCTGTGAGGCCATTAAAAGCCTAAGGGAGATGCACATTTATTGACAAGAAAATGAGTGCATAGTATAAAGTGAAATTTAAAAAGCAAGTGATAGACTAGCATACATATTTGATCTAAATAATAAAAGACATGTCCAGATCTGAAACGACAGGAGGGATAAGCACCCAGATGTGCAGTGGTGATCTCCGGGGAGGAGAGTCTACATTTTTTGTCTACACTTCTGCTACAGTTTTTCTTTTTAACATGAACTGGTATAACCTAATAACCAGAAGGAAAAATACAAACAAGAATGATGCTTTCAATTAAACAAAACCGAAGCTTCTCTGAAAGGGTGTCACACGTACAGACCCCATTCAGAGACCACACGGAAGTGAGATTGAGACACCTGTCTCCACAGATTGAGGCCCACTAAGACACTAGGGGCACTGCAGAGCGCACACCGGTAGACAGAACCCCAACAGCATGTAGCAAGCAGCCTCAATTGCTTGGCGGAAAGCTGGTAACAATTTGTGTCCCATGGCTGACCCCCTCTATCTCCACAACAGTACCTCAGGGCCACATCTTTTAAGTAGAGCTCAGCTTCCCCTGTGAACAACCACGTTTTCTCATGACAGATCCATTTCAACCTTGGGCTATATTAACAGAGGTTGAGCATTCAGAAGGAGGGAGAATGTAACAATTAAGAGCTCAGGTTCACGACGTAGGTGTTGGCTTGGGTGATAGCCTCAGACTTACCATTGACTAGCTGTGTGTCTACCGGAAGTTCTTTAACCTCTCTCTGCTTCAATTTGCTCCTTTGTAAAATGGGGCTAAATAACACTTCCCATGCTGTAAGCAGGTGGTGAAAATTAAAACAAGTAGATTAAAAAAAAAAAAAAAAGGCACTCAGTGCATAATGAAATTCAGTACATAGTCATGACATCCACTGTCATTTTCCATACTGGTCACACCAAGCTTGCAGTTGTGCGGTCAGATCTAGGCGGGAGCATTTAAGAGGAATGAAGGCCACAGCCAAGGGAGAGATGCCAGATGGGAAAAGCAGTCCCGATGACATCATGTGAGAAACCAGGGAGCTTGGAGAAGAAACTCTTGTGGAGGAAAATGATCACTATCTTCTAATACCGGACAGATCAATTTCAACCTTGGGCTATATTAACAGAGGCTGAGCATCCAGAAGGAGGGAGAATGTAACAGACTCAGGACATGAGTGTTTGCTTGGGTGACAGTCCCAGACTTACTACTGACTAGCCTCAGTGGCTGTTATTAGCTGCTCTGAGGTGACCATTTCTATACACACAGACTTACTCTTGTCCAGTGAACTCCTTAGAAGAAATTCCATGGACAAGAACCACCATGGTCATCCATCACCCTGACCTGGACTTTATTATGAGCAAGAACTAACCAGTAGGAGCTAGAAGGTAGATTCCCTCTGCAGAGAAGGAAAAACGTTCCAATAGTGAGAATGGGATTCCATAAGAGGTAGTGAGCTCCTCGTCAGTGGAGGTATTCAAGCGGAGGTTGGAAAGCTCTTAGCAGGGCATCTAAATGGTCAATGCTCTGAATGATATTGAAAGTGAGAATCTATGAATTGCTTTAATTCAATGCTGTCGTCCCTCAAACAGGGTTGGAACCCCTTTTAGAACTTCCCATGGGTTCAACAGCACATGCCTTTGAGTAGACCCAAGAGTGCTGGCTCCTCAACCCATGAGGACGGTTGTAATTGAGAGGAGAGAGCTTTCAGGTTGCTTAGCACCAAGTCTGGTGACTGAATTGGGGGCGTTAAATCAGACAGCCTAGTTCTGTGCTGTGAAGTAACAGGTCTGTTTCCCTGCTTCCTTGGTAAATTCACTCTGGGGACAAGTCATACTCTAAACTGCCTAGTCCTGTTCATCAAATGCCACCTTCGTTCCATCTCTTCCATTAGGCCGGAAACCCTGAAAAGGCCCAGACCATGTCTAAAAGACCCTCCAGGGTCCTCTCCGCGGCCTAGTACAGTTCTGAGCATAGAGTGAGTATTGAATACACTTGCCCTCATGGGTGATTTCCATACACTCAGGGCCTCAGGGGACTCTGGCTGTATTTCAACCTCCAGTAAGCTGCCCTCAGCATTAGAATCCAGCAGCAGCAGGCAGACCCGTCCCAGCAGGGCTGACCTAATCCAAGTCAGATATCCCCTCCTCAAAGATTTCTTGTAAGCCAAGTTACCCAAAACAAAACTCAGATAAGCGAGGAAAAGCCCAGACATTTTACCCATCGTGTTTTTGCAGCTCAAGTCCACAGAAAGACTGGCTAGACATCTCCCTTTATTTAGCTCACCCATGCCTCAGTTTACCTTTCATCGTCTGGCCCTGTTTCTCAGTCCTGGCTCACTCAAAACAGGACAAGTGGAAGGAGAAGGCCACTGTGGTCACTGGAGATCCCAATACACTGGGGGGTTTCTTGGGTACCTCAGACAGATCATGGACTCCCTGAGCCACGATAATCACCAAGGCTCAAAACGAAACCACATACTGGTTTTGGCCAGAACATTCTCATGCACTGCGTAGACAGAGAGGCTCCAGTCAAGGCCTTTGAGGGGAAAAAAATAACTAGATGTTTCCACCGCAGCAGAGAGTAGAAAAGGGCAACGCACCACACTGGCTAACATGGACCCAACATTCTCCTGAGTTTTCGTAACCATGGTAGTCAGGTATGGGAGGGGGAACATGGAGGTGACTCCCCGAGATGGGTGAATAATGGGGCTGAGATCCCTAGTGGAGCCGCTTGGCTATGTTATCTACTCAGGTCACCATGAGAAGACTCCATGCCAACTCAAAGCAGGAAGAAATTTGAGCTTCAACGTTAGTCAAGGCCTCTCTGAATATCAGTTAAGACCACAATACTAACCACCCCTTGACTGCATAATGTGCCAATGGATAGGTGGTCATCTGCAAATATCTGGGGGCAATAAACCAGAGGAGGAGGAGGATTCGTCTTCATCTGGGTTCTTGGCACAGAATTCCCTGAACAGCTACCAGTTATGCCCCACCCTCTCGGTGGCCAACTCCACAGTAGAGACAATGCACCATGCCACTGTGGGTCACTGGGCCGGCCCCAAGAACATCACCTCACCCCAAGCTCAGTAGGAAGGCTTCCCTGGGGAAGGTGAACCAACTGCACACAAAAATGTAGGAACACAGGGACCTGCCCCCCACGGGTGTCCTGTTCTAATTTTGGGGACACAGATATCTTAATGCCCACCAGTCTCATAAATCAGTTCCCCTGAGCTTCTGCGGGCACTCACAAAACTGAGTGCTTGGATTAGTGAACCTGGGGACCAGGGCTGGACAACGGTGACCTCTTGGGTGTGTACTCCTGGGCACTGGGTCAATTTCACATCAACCATCAGAGACCCTATCTAGACACGTTCCATCAAAAGTCAGAGTGGTCCAGATGACCCAACAATTCCCTATATACACAACATACAATGCCCCCCCCAGAGCCCCACAAATCAGCACCCCTCCAGCGCCACCATGTTCTCACTGCAGGTATACCTCCTCCTGATGTTCGCACGGGCTCAGGCAGGCCATCCCAAGTCACCCCAGCACAACACAAAAACGTAGCAGGCACACACCACAGCCCACCCCCCTACCAAGTCAGAGCCAAGGGGCCTCCTGACCCCCAAACGCCAGACTCACCGCTGGAGCAGTCGGGCCCTCCCCAGCCGGGCTCGCAGTGGCAGGTGTCCGGGGAAACGCAGCGGCCGTGCACACACTCCTCCGTACACAGGGCTGAGGGGACACGGGGAGAGAGAGAAAGAACCAGAACAAACAGTGAAAATCAACCATCTGGTCAAGGAGCATAATCTATTTTGTCACAACTCCCTGGTGCACAGGGACGCTCAGAACACATCACCAGCTTGGGGGAAAATCAAGCTACACCTGACCTGAGTCATTTAATTAACTTCAGAATGCATCCTACAAGAGTACATTTCATCCCAGCCTCATTTCCTAAAATGAAACTCCAAGATGGAGAAGGGGTAACTTTGTTGGCTTTTTGAGACCATTTCCTCCAACATTTAACAATAGAGACCTCCACAAACCTCAGCTCCTAAACCCACACCCCTGCTCTTTCCCCATCTGCTCAGGAAATGACCGGTCCCTTGCATCTTGCGCTTTCTCCAGTTTCCTTCTGCAGAGGCCTCAAAACGTATCAGCCTGCCTGAAAAGAAGGTCCCTTCTCACTTTCCCTCCCACCTTTCTGCCCTCCTCCCCAAATGTCCCTATTTTGGGGCTCTCAAATGTCAGCAAATCTGCAAAGTACACACATGCAGAGGAAGCAAAGCAACAGCTAATTATAAAAAAGTAATTAAGAAAGACATCCACGATGATGATAATTGTAATTAGAAAGTAGCTGGCAATTTCTTATCACGCAGTTGAATGCTGCAGCCTCCTGAGGTGGGAGGTGACAGCGGCAGGCAGTTCCCCTCAACCACTCTGGTGCTGGGGGTTTACTGACAGCAGTTTGAGGAAGGGAAATTATTCTTCTTTCCTTTGACAGAATCCACATTTCCTGAAGGTCATCTTTTGCTCCTGAAAGATCTGCCCCACCATCTAAGCCATCAGCCAAGGATTACAGAAAGCCCCCATGTGCCGCCCCTCACCAAGTCGGAAAGCTCAGGGAATCAGCAGCTCCCATCAACCCTGTCAATTTCTTAGACGAGATCTAGATGAAGGTCCCCCGCCTGGCCCACCCCTGGAAAGCAAGAGACTTCTCTCTGCCCAGTAGTGGCCTGGGCTAGAGTAGCAGATGGCCCCCTTTGGTGGCCTCCCACCCACTGCCTGGCCTAAATCCCCTCTGGGAAGATGTTGGGTTAGACAACAAGGCTCATTTTATGGCTGGTGTGATCCTCCAGCCCTTCTTAAGCACAGAAATTGACCCTGAAGCTGCTGTCTTAGCTTTGCCCAGGCCCCCTAGAATGTGGTGTGTCTAGAGATCCAGGACCTTCTGATGGCTACAAGTAGCCTTCAGGGAGGGTTGTGGTACTTCCCCAGCGCTGGAGCCCTGCTCACTTGCAGCCCTGGGAAGTGGCTAGCGCAGCGCTGGAGAACCCACTGGGCCTTGATTCAGGGGGCGAGCTCTCCTTAAAACCACAATGTGCTGCTCACATGGCAGCTAGCAAGACTGTCACTCCTGCTGCCCAGGCTTCCCCTGTTGCCACTGGACTTTCCAAACAAGCTCAAATGGACCAATCCCTCCAGGACACACCAGTGTCCATCCTCTGGCTCCCCATGGGATGCCAGTCCCTTGGCCCAGCCAGCTCCCAGCCCTGGCCTCAGCTACTGCCTCTCCCTCATCCCCACCCCCAGAGGCTGAGATCCCTGCATGCTCTGCAGCTGGGCCCATCTGTGTTACAGCTCCTCACATTAGCTCAATGACTCCGCCAACTGCATGCTGACTGCGGAGAGCAGGACCTCAATCCCTGGAATCTCTGCCAAGGGTGATGAAATCAAACAGTGACTTGCAAACCTGCTGAGCGTCAGGGCTCGAAGAGACCTCCGAGAAAATCATGCCCTGGCCCTTTGTGTTCTACCTGGAGAAGCTGAGACATAACGGTTCACAGCCCCTTGGGCAGTGTGTGGCCTCTCAGCCAGGGAGGAAGAAGCTGGGGTTGGGGGGGCTCCTGGAGACAGAGGCCTCTGAAGATGGAGAAAGCCCAAGGCTATGAGGCCTTCACATTTTGCTCAGGCTGGACATCCTCCCCTGCCCACACGGCTCCGGCAATTTCAGCAGAGGGGTGCTGTGACAGGCCCCCAAGAGGGTCAGTGGTGACCTGAGCCAGAGGGCGGAGGAGCTGCTTCAACATGCTCAGCAGGTTAGGGACAGGGTAGAGGGTGGGCAATTTGAGAAGGCAGACCACCTAGTGACCTGCCTGCCCCCTGTCCCTGCCCCTAGAGACCCAGCCTATCCGCCTACCTCCTGCGCCCTCTCCAAGCTGGGACAGAACAGCCTTCTGGTGCTAAGCAAGCTCCACACTGTACTGCCTTTTCCCTAACCCCAGAGACGTGCAGGACAGTCTGCGGAGCACCGTCCCTCACACTGCAGTCACAGACCCTAGCTCAGCCCTGTGTCCGGCCCCTGGACCCTGGTGAGGACACTGCCAAGGCAGAAGCTTCGCAGTCAGCGTCTATGCTATGCATGGGGGACGGTCTCCCCACAATCCCTTAACTTGACCCCAGGATGCAGGTGCTTCTCCCTCCCTCCCTCATCATCTGGTATTTTGCCTGCACTGTTTGCTTGTCAAAACCTCAATCCATTCATATTTCATAGGTGTTATTTAGACAGTGTTGTTTGAAGCATGAAATATTGATAGCAAATACCTGAGGGTCAGACGCCACATTTGGCAATTGGGCCAATGTGTGTTTGGACACCCAGTGGGGAGGGGCCAGGGGTGCTGTGGGGAGAGTCTTCCACGGAGGATGGAGGTGGCCATCCCCGGTGCTGGGGTGGCCGACCCCTATGCCAACAGCTGGCAGCCTCTCTCCAGAGGCCTGGGGTTACTCAGCTGCTGCTCCTAGAGTGTGTGGGTCCCCTAAGCTCTTTCAGACCGCGGACCCCATGGCAGTGACTGGCTGGGAGGGGCTGGGTTAGGGTGCTGCCACCGTGGCCTCCTTCCTGGAAACTTACAACTCTAAACAGGGCGTTTTGTCAAGTCCCTCTTCACACTGCTGCATATCCACCTGCTGTCATGGAAAGGGGACTGGATGGGCTCTGACAGCACTAGCCGTGTGATGGTGCCAGCCACTGCTGGCCCCAACAAGAAATATGAACTGCCCTCTGACCACCCTGCCTTCGTCCTGCTTCTGACCTCCCTGCATGCTAGAAGCCTTCTCGGCAAGCAGCAGGACGTACAGGGGTTGAGAGCAGACCGCACCCAGAATGCCGGATCTGGCCCAGAGATGCGCCTTGGATGAGTTACTCCATCTCCGTGTCAGCCCCATCTGTTCAGCTGGGGGACAGCGGCAGGATGGGCCTCACAGGCTGTGTGAGGACTGAATGAATTGATCAAGCACCCAGAGCAGATCAACTGAAAATGCCATTTAGAAAATGCCATCAGGAGGCTGAGGCAGGAGAATTGCCTGAACCCAGGAGGCGGAGGTTGCGGTGAGCTGAGATCGCGCCATTGCACTCCAGCCTGGGTAACAAGAGCGAAACTTCGTCTCAAAAAAAAAAAAAAAAAAAAAAAAAAAAGAATTGCCATGTGAACCTTGCTGTTCTTAGCAGCATCTCCTAGGTCCTGAGTACAGGCTCCTTGTGAGGCCTGAGCCTCCTTCATCCTCCACTCACTCCCACCCTTCATTGAGGTCCTGGACACATGACAGGTGGCCTTCAGGGACCTGCGAACAGATCCCTGGTTGGGGCAGTGCTGCTGGAGGGCAGCGCCATCTCCAGCCCTGGCAGGAGAGGCCAAGGTGGTAGACATTGTGATGACCTAAGTTTAAATTCCACATCTGCCAATGACAATTACAGTTACAGGATAATAAACAATTAACCTTTCATGCCTCAGTTTTTCTGTCTGTAAAATGGGGACAATAGTAGTGCCTACTTTACGGGTTGCTGCAAAGATTAAAATGAAATAAAACATGTAAAGTTCTTACACCAGTGCCTGGCACGTAGGCACATAGTAAGTACTCAATAAGCATGTGATGCAATCACCATTTCGCTCTCACACTCACTCCTCTCTCTCTCTCTTTCTCTCACACACACACAGTGGGTTGTGGACTCAATGTCTAACACAGCTGCCATTTGCTGCTGCTTCCTGTGCACTACCATTTCCTGAGAACCTACTATGTGCCAAGCCTTAGGGCTTTGACACACACTCCATCAGCCTCTGGCATAGGCCATCCCAGCACACACTGAGGGAGCTAACTATGTCGGTACTACCTCTTTTGAGGACCTCCAGCTCCTGGGGGACAGAGACTGCTTCCCACTCATCCTTTTTAAGCCCTCATGGTTTCTGGTACACAGTAGGTGCTCAATGCTTGTGAGCCCCACACTCATCCGCCCCAGCAAAGAATACCACACAGCTCACGTGAGAAAGGCACGCTTGTTTTCCCCAAGCTCAACCTCAGAGCTCGATCACAGAGAAGTCACCAAGTCTGTGGACCTGTCTCTTGGCTCAGGCTGTTTCTGGCCCTGTGGGACCAGGTGACCAGGGGTTGTGAGGATGGTGGTGTGGGGCTGCAGAATCAATCCAGCCTTGGGTGTCAGGGGGCCCTGATTTGTGTTTACAAGTGTCTCTCTCAGTGATATCATTAACTCACCATCCTCTCTGGGCCCTGCAACCTCACTGACAAATCAGGATTCAAGCAGACAACGTTTTAAGTCCCATGTAGCTAAGAATCCCTCCATCTGTCCTCCCGCCCACACACTCCAGGACACACCTGGATTGCTGCCATTGCTCTGGTTTCCCTTCCTGGCCCCCAAACCCCAGCCCCTTTCTATCACAGGAACTCCTGGTTTCTTTCCTCTGTTGCTTTGGAAACGGCACTGGAGGAGGAGCCAACTCTCTGGCCTCGGTCTCTTGTCCACAAAACATGGGCATTGGAGCCATCGTCCTTAAGGGCCTTCCATGGCTGACATCCCTTGATGCTTCTCTTCTGACTTAGGGATACACTGACTCCAGCACACGCCACCTTAGAGAGCTGCAATCTTGAAACACTTCCACCGAGCTCCCTAGCCCTGGCCACCAAAGCTGGGCACAGCCTCCGTCATCCAGCCCCACCACGAA